CGGTAGATCAAGGATGCGATGGCGCCACCTGCACATGAACCATACTGTACTCAGTAGCCGCTGTAACTCCAATGTATGGAATGGCTTGTGAAAGATGAGGGTAGACTGAAAATTACCCACCTATGGAGCTCCCGGCTACCACAATGCCGGTGGCGAACCCTTGATAGCGTTTGAACCACTGCGCGGGCAGGGCGACCTGGCAGCGGCCATCCAACTCAAAACGCAGGAACACACAACGCCAAGGATGATTGACGTACGATCACAGGGAAAATGAGCGCGTCGGCGATTCCCTGCATCAGCCCCTGCATGATGTGCCAACGTCAACGACGAACGACGAACGTAACGGGGCGCGCGGGAAGTGGCGACAGTCAAAACGGCTGATGCCACTGACTGACCATCGTGATGAAGAACTGCCATATCGTCGTGCAGAACGCCGACGCGAGCATGCTGGCTATCCACAGGAGCGCGCCTGCAGCCAAGAATGGCTATTCCCGGGTCCCGGCGCATATGACGGGTCAATACTGTAGGACCCGACGCCCGATGGTATCGCACACTATACCTTGTAGCCGCTGTTCATTCATTCAGTTTGCACAGGCCACCCAATGTATTATATGTTGAATGATGAGGCTGTTACTCACTAGCGGTCCGCGAGCTTCCCCGCAACGATACCGACGAGCGTCATGACCTGCGGCGTTCACTCAGACACCCGGACGCAAACGGCCACAAGAAGCGACGGCGCGTACCACACTTGAGAGGCTGCCCAATGCAGTGAGGACCGAGTCTGCGGTACCAGGGAACATATGTGTCCGGAAGTACTCTTCTGTGACGCCCCATGCCTGAGGCGCCGGGTAGAGTTCGTCGACGTCAGTAAGCGGCGTTCTAACATTCATAGTTCACCGGAGCATGAAGTTGTCACTCACCAAACTAAGCAAAATTGGAAGATTGAAGAGCTCGTTGTTATGTACTGCTAAGAACTTCAGGCATGGATAGGAACGCACGCCCATCCCACTGTTGCGGTAGAGAAAATGAAGCATCCGAGGATTACGATCCAACCTCGGCCACCGTCTGGGACATCTTCGTCCGTCATCATGCCCTTGTCAAGCGCTCCGTCCACGTAGAGCACGGAAGGCAACGATGTTGGCTCGACAGGTGAGTCCGAGATTGTGAGCTTCTCAGAGCTGTCGACTTGCACTTTCCCTTCAGTATCCATGCTCAATCGAATGACAGATGTCCTGGAGAAATTGCAAGAGAGCAGATCGCCGACTCAAAGGGAGGAGAAAAGCGGACGCACGCCAACGCGGATGCATCGGTGAACTTGCCTAAATACGCCTGTTTCATCATGGAAGTGGTACACGGTGTTCCAGGCGTCCTGGGTGCACTAAGCGGTCCTCAAAAAATAGAGAAAAACTCCGTCGATCGATGCTGCTTCTCGCAAACGTTTAACGTATTCTTGCCCAAAGTCCGACGTTCAGGTGCTCTCCGGGTGGCTCAGACCTGCACACCATTGGTCCGAGCAGGGCGCGCAATATGGCGTGCGTCGAATTATCGCAGAGTCTAGACTCGCTCGCAGTATGTTGACCGGCGCTTGTGACTGCTTAATGTCAAAAGCGCCAGGTCCGATCGCGAGGACGTAAGGAACAACGCCTCGGATTGGGTAGACTTGTCTCGACTGCAGCGTTCCGGAGAAGAAGTCTGCTCGATTTGAGTCACAATGCCGTGGAATTTACGAAATCACTGTTCGATCAACGACTGTGAGCCTAGATAGTGGAGATGTGGACAATGGTCAGACGCCACGCTTGTTTGCTTACCTCGCAGAGTCGGACTTTTTCACTGGCTTATACTGCCGATGTGGGAAATTGTATGGCATGTACTCACCGACTGTGGTGCAGCTGCAGATGGCCGAGCATGGCCATTACAACAGAAGTGAGCGGTCACGCGCAGTGCCGCGGCGGGATCAAATATACAAAAGTTTTCAAGGAGATATGATGGTGACCTACTCTCGGCCCTCTACCCTAAGACTCGGTCACCGAGCCACCGAACTACTCCGGTCGCTGCAGCGGCGAGGAGGAATGACCCGTCGAAGAGCGGGCCGAAGAATTGGTACTCGGGAAGAGTAGAGAACAGATTGACAATCCCTTCGTCAGCGTCCACGTCTGGACGAGCTGGTGGCGGAGGGAAAGATGTGCGTAGCTGAATCAGTGTAGCCATCAGATAGATGCCCTGCGGACGGTCCAAATCAGCTTTGGGTTTCCATCTCGTCGTCGCCGGGACGCGTACCATTACTTGTGCAAGCGTCAGGAGCATCAGGGATGCGCCGAGTGACCTGCTCGTTACTCGCAGGAGCTGCCCAAGCGCATCAGAAGTGGAAATGACGTGATTGGTACGGGTGGTACGTACTCTTGCCACCCCACGGAGCACCCTTCGGATACTGCTCAGGATGATAATGCCCACAAAACCGAGGCTGATTTGCCGGGATATGACGGCAATCTTGTCCGCCGGTAGCTGTACGAAGGGAAGGTGTGACAGCAAGTACGCGAGTACGAAACTGATGACGTCTGCGTTGGTCGGCGCAGACTCCCCGGGTGTCGCTGGGGGCGATCGTGGTAGGATGAGGTTCACCAGAGACTGTATGCCAGCGGTGAGATGGTAATCGTTAGCTTCGTTGTAAATGCGACACATACTGTGACGATCCGGTAGACGCAGTACAAGGAGAAAAGTCGTCCGCCCCAGTTGAATAACCGTCCAGCCAATGTCTTCGAGAACTTCGCATTGGCTTGACGCTGCTTGAGGGCTTCCAGATTGCGCGACATCTCGTATTCTAGAGCCTTCAAACCGCTAATCTCCTGGGCCAAAGCAGAAGATTCTATCGAGAACGTCGAGTCGTTGGTCACTTTGAGAACACATAGAAAACATTCCCGTGACGCTTACCGCTGTCCCCAGGCCAGCTCATGACCGTTCTGGAGAACCAATTAGACTGCGCATCCGGCTGCTGGAGAAGGTCGGTCCATGGCGCAATCGCTTTGCATGATTCTCAATATCCGCACCTTAGAGGCTTGACGTGTTCGCAGATCTTTTCGTCTCTGCGTGAGGTCGTCTCGTACTCGCTCCAGGCCAGACTCGGCAGTGCGAACCTCCTCGTCCGTCGGATGTGGTCTGTCATGAGGATAAATGAACCACACAGCACAAAAGCTGCATCTACGCGCACCTGGATGTTCGGGACAGAACAGGGAAGAAATCCCAAGCCGTGTCTATAGCACCAAAACCGGACAAGAGGCCAAGGAAGACGGTTCCGACGACAGTCAAACGCGACAGCGTGGACGCTAAGATAGAATGTGCTTGCATGCCTGCTGGTATTGGTATGTGCGACAAGGCAAGGAGGAATAGCACATTTGGGATCAAGTACAGCGCGAGTCGAGGAGAGATGACCCCTTGGCTCGTAGGAGAGACTGACAGAAACTGTGAATATCAAGGATGAAGTCGCGTGCATTGACTTACCACCTGGGTTTGAACCATTGCTTAAGACGATACTGTATGAGAGCGGGATGACCAGAACGATTGCCACAAGGAGGACTGCCAAAGATATACGCCAGTGGATCAACCTGACGCTGGGAGACCGTTCTTGGTGGTGAGAACAGCGAATAAAGCAGGGCAACGGATAGTACTAACATCGGACTAGAGAGGTCCAACGCTTGCAAGATGAGTAGCAAGAACAGCATGCATGTCTCGGAGAAACATAGCGCAAACAGAGCACGAGACAGCGCAGAATGGAATGGCCGTTTACGCGCCGTAGATGGTTTGCTAGCGGCACTCGTTGACGGCGTTGGCAGGGTTTCTAGTTCAGTGTCCCCCGCATCGAAGACGACAGTGACGGGTGTACCAGAGTCTGAGGCAGCCTTCGCGGAGAGGTCTTGGAGATCATGATACAGGTTGCGAAGAAGATATCGCCTACAGGCATAGAACAGTGCTGCTCTGTCCGAAGAGTTGCGCATCAGTTCAGCCGCGAAGAATGCCAGGAGCCCCGGGGACGGACCTGACTACTAGGAGCCCCGCAGACTGCACGTTATAGACTTCCGACATCTCCGATAGACAGACAGCGTATCCACCTAGCTCTCAGCAAACAAGAGAGCCAAAGGGAGAAATGAAGAAGTGCTAATGAAGCCGGTGGGGACTAGGGGGGCATGAAGTGGCTTCAAGGCAAGTGCGCGCGCGACGCGACGACGGCACTGCTGCGCGGAGTGCTACGATGAAGCGCCCATAGTTGTTCCGGGACTCCGCACCGGTGAGTGTAAGTACTTAGTACTTACCGGCTATTGGCCACATATACAGATCCTACTTATAACCTCTGGGCATCAAGGACACGGATATAATGCATGAAGTCACTTGTGTATACCACCGGCTTTCAAATTTGAGACCTGCGCACTTCCCACTGACAGTGACTATCCATGCTCAGGAAGATTCATAATCGGGTAGAGCAAAATAAATATTGAGACCCGTAGGTCTACCACTCCGGGAAAGCGTGTCATCCTTGTGCAGGGGCCATGCTAATCTTCTCTGTATCGTTCCAATTTTTTCGTATGTCACCCCGAAGGGGACATTTCTGGCTGTCGGAGGTCAAGTCGTTGGGCGACGCTTCTGCTTTGCGCTTGACTTGCGGGTAAGCACGGTGCACAGCGAGCCCCGAACGCGCGAGGCGAGCGCCTTTACATGGGCATGTGGTATAGTTGGTTATCACGCTCGCTTAGCACTCATGAGAGCTTGCGAGAGGGGTCCGGTTCAATCCCGGACATGTCCAATAGTTTTTCTTGTCCCTCAAGGCCTCCCGTTTTCTTGGAGCTGGTGATGTACGCGTAGAGGGTAATCTTGAGGAATAATTAGGATCTTAATTGCAATCGAAAGCACCCCGTCCATGCATTCATTTGCCACTAAGATGTGCTAAGCGCACATAAGTATCTTTCAGAATGCGTTCTTGCTGACAATCTGTTTATAGAACCCCCTTTCAAGGGCATGTGGTGTAGTTGGTTATCACGCTCGCTTAGCATCTACGAGGTGTTTGCGAGAGGGGTCCGGTTCAATCCCGGACATGTCCATTTTGGGCTGCCCGCCCTCTCATTTGGGAAGTCTTAGTCATCGGTGTTGATCGAAGTGGGCGCTTGCTTTTACTGCAGCTCTGCGCTTGCTGAGCCTTGCTCTCCACGATCTTGACGCTCCTCGCCATTCAGCATATCCTAGCACCTGCAAGATGTCTGCGACCGTTACCCCTGCGGAAGATGAGCTCAAGACCGCGCTACTGGAACTAAAGTCTGCGAATCCGACTCTGGGCATACCTAAGGTTCACGCCCTGTTGCTCTCAGCTCATCCCGAATGGACCGTCAGCGAAAAGCGTACGCGGAAGATCCTGCAGAGTGAGGGCCTGGTGAACAACGCGAACGTCGCGGTCCCGGCGCAGCTCTACCCGACATCGCAGATCATCAAGGGTTTCGACGTCGCGAAGTACACGACGAAGGCTGAGGTCAAGCACTTCAGCAAGATCAAGGGCAAGGGCCTCGTCGCGAAGGAGGAAATCAAGGAGGGCGAGACGATTTGGAAAGAGGACCCGTTTGCGCTCGCGCCTGAGTGGTGAGTTGCGTTGAACGCGTGCATGACACAGTGAATACCTGACGACCTCCGAGGAACCTGTACGACTTGCAGATGTCCTCACACGCGTGCGGATACTGCTCGACGCCTCTCACGACGTCCCCGCTCGTTGTGCCGTGCACGGCGTCGACTTCGTCCATGCCTTGTCCGGTTCGCTTTTGCAGCCGATTGTGTCTCTCGCGATCCGGAAGGACGCACCCCCTACTGTGTGCCGCGCGTAATCCGGCTGCGGCACCCTTGCTCCACTTCGCGCGTAGGAACCAATGGATGGCTTTGCATGCGCTCTCCCAGGTCACCGCGCGCCTGCTTCTCACGTATAACCAGGACGAGAAGGCGTTCGAAGAAGACTGGGAGGTTGTACGTTCTCTGGCTCAGCTAGGCATGGAGGAGCGTGCGAAGGGCGGATTGTACGCTCCAGCTTCTCTCCCACTCCACCTTTGACGCTGATGCCGATCTATCACCATCAGGCTGAATCCGGATCCCGACCGGGCGATGTGGAAGAAAACGCACAAGCTCTACATTCAGGCGTTCCACGAACCCGCCACGGAAACTGAGAAGAAGCGCCTCGCGAAGCTGCTCAAAAAGCCTTTGCCCAAGGATGTCTCGGAGGCCCTTTTTGATTACGACGCGTTCTTGCACGAACTCGGTCGTATGAGCCTGAGTGAGTGCACATTTGAGAAGTCCCCAAGTACCAATTCCTGAAATCAGCCGTATCAGACCTTGAAGCGCACGGAGGGCTCTACGTCCTACACTCTCATCTGAACCATTCGTGCGTACCCAACGTATCTGTACGTCATCTGGACCAGCGCACCGCGCTCTCACGCATCACGGTGCTCGCGCGCCGCGATATCACGCCTGGAGAGGAGCTTACGATCACCTACGTGAACCCCGAACTGCCACTCGAGCAACGGCGACGACAGCTCATGGAGTGGGGCTTCGGGAAGTGCATGTGCGAGCGCTGCGTGAAGGAGGAGCGCGAGCGCAAGGTCGAGGGTGGTGATGGCGAGGTGAACGTTGAAGAAAAGGCTGACTTGGAGGCCGAGCTGAAGGCGGGCTTGGGTGTGATGTGATCTGGCGTGATCTTAGTCTATCTTGCAGCAAAATCTTGTGTATTATACCACTCTGCTACGATTGCAGTGATCCCGACATGCGGCGTGAGTCTAGATTTAATTTGGACGCTCCGAACATTCGCACAGGTACTCAGGTTTGACGATCAGGTATACGTCGCCTGCATAAACCAACATATCATACATACATACTGACGCTTTCGTCACATTGCTTTCATGTCGAACCTCTGAGCTTCTTGAACAGCGCGCCGCCCGCAGCAGCGACCTTCTCGACGTCTCTGCAAGTCAAGCTGAACCGCATGCCCCTCTCCAGCTTCCCCCCATTCGCAATCGCCTCCCTCGCCTCCTTCTCTCGCAGCATGTCGAAGTTCGCGATCCGCTCCTGCGGCGCCCGTCCGTCGGCGACGATGAAGATGTCCTCCGCGACCTCGTCAATCCCGTGGAGGTGCGCGGTGTAGAGTGAGGAGGTGGTGATGACGAGGCTGCGCGGCTCGAGCAGGAGCGAGAGGACGGGGTTCGGGTCGATGGGCTTGCCGGAGCCTGCTGCGGCCATGGGTCCTGCGGCGGTCGTTGTCCCGGCAGACTGTTCTGCTGGGCTCGAGTCGGCATCGGCATCGGTTCTGTACTTGTAGTAATTGAAGACGGTGTGGGATCCGAGGGACAGCGTCGCTACGACCGGGTGGTAAGCTGGCCCGTCTTCGTGCGGCTGTGCGAGGAAGTTGAGGAACATGTTTGTGCACGAGCGCCACGATGTAGACGCACCATGATTCCTTGACCTGGTGCGTACTAGCGCAGATGAACGAGGATTCAGCCAACTTCATGGACGGAAAAACAGGAGCTTATACTCACCTCGTTCATGATAACATGATTCGGCTGCCCATGTGCAGACCCCTTGAACGCGCCCGTATCTCGTATGCGACCAATGATATCTGGGCTGCATCATATTGATCCTGAGCTTATGCAGATATTCCAATGAGACACATACTATTGTGCGACGAAAGAGGGCATCTCTTGAGGGATGAGAGCCTTCTTCGCCGTCAAGTCGCCTCCTATTCAGCGACGCAGGCCAAGTCCCACCAATCAGTCAACGCAAGTCCGAGGGCGGTATGGGAAGGACTTGCCCCATATCTGCAGCCTATGTGACAAGCTTGAGAGGCTGTTACGTAGTGAACATGGAATGGGTCACTGACCTCCGGTTTTGTAGCCGCTTCCACCAAGGTTGAGGTGCTTCATGGATCTAGGGGAAAATGCAGGTCAGAGCTGTCTGTATTCTTTTACAGACATTCATTAGCTTCGGACCTTGCGTATAAGGTATTCCTCCTCTTCTTCTGTGACGAACTCTGGTATGTAGTAAGTGTTCGTCGTCCCCGGGACGAGGTAGTCGTCGAGGTTGATCGTGCTCATGGTGCACAGAAGTCAAGTTTCACACAGCCACCGATCGAGAGCAATCGACTCCATATGACGGAGGATCTCGACCAACACCTCGATTTGGGTTGTAGCCTTAACTATTCAAGGATGCAGTAAGTTGAATTTGTTCGCGCACACACACTAAGTTATAACTGGGTATACGAGAGTCTATGCATTATTATAATGATACAGAGATATACATGTAGTGTCGTTGAGCCTGAGGAAACCATTTATCGAAGTCCAAAGTCTACGAAGCACCCAGATGCGTCATACAGAAGACCCAAACCTATGCCGCATCGACATCAGACCACTCGCTGTCGCTCTTCGCAGCGACCTCCTCCTTGTCGATGATATCCAACTCGTCCTCCTCGCGCGAACCCTCGAGCTTACTCTTCCTCCGAGTGGGCTCATCGGCGAGTGGCGACGAAGAGAGCAGGAATGCCTCATCGGCTACTGAAGGCGTCTCGGACGGCACGCGGGTCGCAGGCTGGGGTGTCGAGGCGGTGTCTTCGTGGTCGACGGGAGGGTCAGCGATGGGAGAATCGACGACCATGTCGACATCGGCAGTGACGAAGGTCGCGTCAGTCGCAGTGGAAGTTTCGCGAGTGATAGCCTCGGGAGTGGGGATGGAGGTCGAAGGAACGGTGGAAGGTGCAGTTACGAAGGTTGCATCCGAAGGTTCTGAAGGCGCGACTGGGGAATACACAGATAGGATGTCCGAATCGACCGTAGCCGCAGACTGAGTCGGCTCTTCGGCCTGAAGTTGGTGTGCAACGCATGAGGATGAGTCCTCAGTCACATCATTCACCTCGTCAAAAGAGGTGCCTTCAGGGCGAGAGTCCGACGCTTCGGTGGAAGGGAGATCTACGAGAGACACGCTGACAGTGTCAGGTTCAGGGGCGTCAACAGGCTCGGGAAGAGTGAGGCCGGAAGGCGACACGGAAGAGACGGAATCCTCAGCAGAAGTCGAGGGGGTGGAGTCGGTCGCAGGTTCGGGGACTTCGACAAGAGCGACGGAGACGGTGTCAGGTTCTGGAACAACCGCATCAGGAGCAGCAGTCATGGGGGACTGGGTGCTGACAGGGGAGTCCGAAGCCGTGTCCTGCGAAGGTGCGGTGTCGACTAGAGCAACAGAGACGGTGTCGGCTTCAGGGGCCTCAGTCGCAGAAACAGACAAGGGTTCGGCAGAGATTTCAACCGCAGAGTCCTGAACAGTCTGAGTAGTGCCTTCTTCCACATCGGATGAGGAGGTGGGCGCAACCGGTGAAGACGCGCGGCTGCGACGCCGCTCCCTACTCCTCTCTCGCTCCCTCTCGCGGCTCTCCTCCACGCGGCGCTCGACCGCCTCCAGAGCGCGCTCGACTTCCCTCACGACCTCCTTGCGCCTACCGCGGACTGCAAGGTCGCCGTTGCTCTCCACCTCATCGAGCTTAGTAAGGAGCCCGTTCAGCGCGTGCTCGTATGCGTGTACAGGGGTGTTGTTCGCGGTGTATGCGAGCGGGCCGGGCTCCTCGGAGTCGGCATCGGCGTCGTCAGAGATGGGGTTGACGAAGTCGAGGTGCTCAGGGAATTCGAATGTCGACTCGAGCTTGCGGAGCGCGTCCTCGACATCCTTTATCTGAGCGAGCGAGAGCTTCCGAGCGCGACGTGCGCGGTAGAACTTGAGCAGCTTCTCGGCGACGGCGGGTGGCAGAGCGTGAGTCCGATGCAGGTGGGCACCTTCGTCCTTGGGGACTTCAGGGGCGGGAGAAGTGGTAGAGGGTGCTGGTGCCGTGGGTGAAGCCGGGGCGGCTGTCTTGACCGTCGATGGTCCTGCTACAGGTTGCGACTCGGAAGGCTGCAGCGCTTCGAAGATGTCGGAGTAAAGCTTCGCCAAAGACTCTTGGATTTCGGGGTCGATTTCGCTCCGGAGACGGGCCTCGAGCTGTTCCTTGAAAGAGGGGCCCTCGACAGGCGGTTGCGCAGAGGGACGGGGGTCC